CCCTAGTAAGGACCACTGTCTGTATAAGCAGGTGTCCTGTTAACAACAGCAGAATTGTGATGCAGGCTGTAATGAATGTGTGCCTCTTTTTTTAACAACACATCCATTTATTTTGAGTTCGGGGAAAGGACCGGGCTAAGTACTATTTCTTTCTTACTGATAGCAGTCTTTACACATATTTCAGTTCTATCGCACAAAGCATTGGAGTTTTTACACCACTCTTTATTGTAGAGTTTCATTGTCACAAATCCTTTTCTCAGCATTTCTGACTTGTTGGTGATATTTTCTGCCGCTTTTATAGTTTGGCAGAGGTTACAGAATAACTTCAGCACCTTGTACAACAGGTATCATCGATGCACATCTACTTCTAACACCTGCAGGTGTCACCCCAGCTGCTCGGACTCAGGCTGGCAGGGTTATACTCTGAGTTAGCATGGTCTCATCTGCACACACTTTGGTGTGCGTGCCGCAGGGATGAGGAGGGAAAAAGAACGGGAGGGGGAGATCTGTTTACCACTGCCATAACCAGATTAATGGCTCTGTCGGCCAATCAGACAACACTGATGGGGAATCCCTGAGAAGATTGAAAGTAAAAATAATAATAATAATAAATAAATAAATAAAAATAGCCCTGGCCTAGCCTTCCTGACCAATGGCCAGGTCCACAGAGAGGTGTATAAATAAATAAGGGAAATAAATAAAAGAGGAGGGAAACACATCCTGAGGGCATCCCCTACTGGCATAGACAGCGCTGCCTCTCATCCCTCCCTCTTTCAGCATCTTCCACTCAAACCAATCACTCACACTATTTGAAGTTATTTGCTTGCACTCCCTCAGTCCCACACATCTCCCCCCCTCCCACCCCTCCAAACTCTGCTCCCTCACTTTCATTCTTTCTTATTAATGATCTCATTTCTCACTCTCCTTCCCTGAGGCCCAGAATGAGGTTAGATCTGCCGTCTGACCTATAAACACTGCCATGGAAACTGCAACGTGTTACAGCGAGACACCTCTTTAACACGGAGCATGGGGTGGAGGGCTGGTGGAGGGCTGGTGGAGGGTGAGTGTGTGTGTGTGTGTGGGGTTGGGGGGTTCTCTCACCTTTATCTTAGCCAGAGGGCTATCAGATGCGAGATTTGCTTCACTTTCAACAATCCTTATCCAGGCAGAACTATTTTTCTCCGCTTTCTGATTTCTTTGCTCTTTAAGAGCAAATGGAAACCGTGACTTTGCTTGCTCATACTATCAGCTTCTTGTGGGAAGGGTTGGCGTCTAAATTAACATTATAGCGCTCTTTACCTCTCCTTCAAAAATTCTTGTGCTGTTGTCACTGATATCCAGATACTACTGAATTCAACTTTATTTATACAGCGCCAAATCACAACAACAATCGCCTCAAAAAACTTTATATTGTAGAGTAAAACCTAGAATAACAGAGAGAAACCCCCAACAATCAGATAACCCCCTATGAGCAAGCACTTGGCGACAGTGGGAAGGAAAATCTTCCTTTTAAGAGGAAGAAACCTCTAGCAGAACCAGGCTCCAGGAGAGGGACAACGATCTGCCACGACATGTTGGGGGAAGTTAGGAAGAGGGTGGGAGATACTTGGTTTCAAATATTCCATCTAGGAGGGAGAAAATGCTCAAGATACTGTGAATTTAGCAACAAAGCTATTACTCCACTAACATCTGCAGAACAAAATATTGGGCCTTTTTCTACTAAAGCACATGGATACCCACAGAGTTGTGATCATGTATAACATTTACATCACATTGCTCTGAATAGATTGACTACCAAACCATTGGATTCACAAGCACAATCGATTGCACGGTGAGATCCATAAGCCAACATTTACTCCACATTTGTATGTTTCCTTCACTCTGAGTGACACTATACAAATTCACCTATGAAGTAACTCAAACTGAATCACAGAGCAAAGCCTAGTAAACATCAACTGTTTTGAGAAATAAGTTCAATTTTAGTCTGAGTTTCAAGCAGGAGAAGTGGGTACAGAGTAAGAAAAACCAGGATGGGATTTGCTTAAATCTCATTTAAGGGGTGAACCCATGGTCGAGGGGGTTTAGGCGCTTACCAAATCGGCTAAAGCAGCCTAGTTCCCGGATCAACACCCAGCCAGAACTTTGCTGCATGTCATTCCCCTGTTCTATCCTCACATTTCCTGTCAATCTCCACTCCACTCTATCGAAATAATAAAGGAAAAATATTATAACATGTTCACAGAGGCAGCCATAATGACATTTAGAGCTGGGTGATTTTCCTCTACCGCATATGGCTATAGACTCTGAATCCAATCAAGTCTGACTAACATCACTAATTATATCAGTGCTGTCCTACATGTTGGGCTGACTATGCGAATACGATTACAAATGGTTTATAAATGTTAGTTTAAATGTTGCTTCTGTGGGATATTCATCAAGGGCGTCTGTGAATGTGGTCTGTGGAGTTCTGGCGATGAAACCTGCTACAAAATTCAGAAGTTAAAAGCGAAGACTGAAGCCTCACCGGCAGACTGGATGGCCGCGCCTGCATGCTGTCTTCTTGACTGCTCTTGTTTGGCTGGTTAGATGGAGGAGCGCTGGACTGTGAGCTGAAGGAATCCTGGGAGAGTTCCTGGTTGGAAGAACGAAGACAAGAGACAAAACGGACACAATGTAAAAAAAATAAAATAAAATAAAATCTCAGAGTCGAGCATTTATTACTGCTTGTTCCCTTTTTGCAGTGCACAGCTAATATAACAACTGTCACACTGATACAAATAACAGATCTCCACTGGGCTGGATAAATGTAGAGAGCCGTGACCGACTGTGATTTGAATATTTACTGTACGTCGTGTTTGTGTTGCCACAGGGCTCACATGGCATGGGGAAAACTCGCTGCTTATTCTACAGCTTGTGCTTCAACTTCAATTTATCATATTTTTTTATTTATTTTTTAAAAGAAACTACTAAAAACTGCCCTGTTCTGTCAACGGTCTTGTGTGCGGTCCATTTCCTGTTGTTCATACTATCCATTTAACAGACAGGAGCCTGTTTAATTAACTAAGTAATTAAAGCTTAATTACCAACAAAGCAGCTCTGAGTGGGCCACACCAAAGGTTTATTCAAAAGCTCTCATGGCTGTTTCCGTGTTTAACCCTTGCAGAGCAGCATCTCACTTCTTCCATGTGTTTTTGCTATGGAAAGCTGAGCGTGCAATGATCTTTTCAACCGACTATTGACAGTTATCAAGTGAAGGCATTTCCTGGGAAGCAGGCAGTTTGCAGTGCCACTGTTAGATCGGCACGGACATCATTACAGCACTGATTAAGTACAGTAAAGTCAAGAGCATGTGTCAACCCAGGAATCTCCTGCTAATGGAAACACAGTTGCCCCTGACACAGCACATCACATCAAATTACAGCTAAAGTGTTCTAATAGAGTTTTGTGTGAGGATTACCTGTGGAGGAGGTGGGAACCTCTGATAAGGTG